GCCTAGAGCATACCCTCCACCGCCGACTGGTCACGATCTCATGCGGCTGTTCCCGCCGCCGCCGCCGAGCCAGTTCTCTGAGCTCAAGGGTGGACCCACCAGCTACTATTTCCAGCGCCAGGAGCGCGCTTTCTTCGCCCAGGCTGGTCGTGAACAGATTCGCATCCGCCTTGACGCCGAGTTCGCGCCGCGTCCGTCGCCGCCGACGGCCAACATGCCTGCGCCTACGAGCATGCCCTCGCGCAACTGGGCGCCTCCACAAGCGCCAGTCCACCCCCACCCATCCCATGTGCGCCAGGTTGTGCCGCTCGTACCCGTCCGCATCCGCTGAGTTGTATGCAGATGCCACCCGCTCATGTCGGCCCGCCCGCACCTGGACACGCCCAGGATGACGACGACGACGAGTCGTGGAGGCGTCCGACGCCATACAATGAGCGCCGTCGTGCAGGGAAGCACACCAAGCGCACCGTCAGGCCATAGACGCTAGACTCGTTGTCGAACATGCCATTTATGCCAAGTTTCTTTCGTTCGCTCTCGCGCTGTCCTGCTCGCTCTTGCCCATTGCTCTGTACCATGTCATGGACACGCACAGTTTTGTCTCATCCATCCATCTTGTCTCTTGGAAGATACCGTACTATTCGTACCCTACTCGTTTCGTACCCGCTGTAGCATGCCCGATCGCCCGTTTCCCCCTCAGATCTTGTGATGTCGCGTTCCTTACTCGCTACATACAACCTTCTTGTAACATGTTGAATTTTACACATGCACCCTTTCGGACTGAACCCTCCGGCTTCCGGAATAATCGAATACGCCGCGTTTAGGCATGCAGTGCAGCGCGCAGCTCGCATCGATATCTCCCCGTCCTCGCGAGTACAGCAGGTCGTCAAGTGGGCATTGGCGCATCGTCAATTGATCAAGATTGCGTCGAGATCGCATCGGCCCCAAATCGACAAGCGCCCTCGGGCCACCCGACGAGCGCACAGATCCCCACAAGACGTACTCGTACACGCCCCCTTCCACATGCAGCGCGTCTTTCCCGCCGCCGCTAGCGTGCTAACGCGGTACGGTAGCGAGCAGCGTCGATCATACCGTGTGCCTCGCGTGCGTTCACAGGAAGCCTGGAAGCTACGAAGCTCACCTGTTGGAGAGAGCTCGGATGACCGGCGTCTTGTTATCGGCTGAACCCACAGGTGCGAATCACCCATTGCGCGGGTGGCCTGAACGATCCAAGCTGGAGCTCTGAGCTAAGCGCTGACGCTCTCGGTGTTGCTCCTTGATTGTAGCTGCAAGGTTCAGGGTCAAGCAGATGATTTCGAAGTCGAAGCTGGACGCACGGGCGTCTATGCGTCTGCGGTTCTGTCCCGAGCGCGGTCAGATCTACCAGAAGCCCGGACGAGTCGACAGCGAACACCTTCCATTCCCATTTCGCCGCCCCCTTCGACCTCGCATCGGCGCGGGTCTCCCTCCGATGATGGCCCAGATATCAAATCTCGATATTTCCCTAATAAACCATGAATGGCCGGAAAGCTTGTTCGCGCAGCTTTGTTGTCGAGAATCCTCTAAGTACATCCAGGAACGTCGAGGTCCCTGCTGATCTGCCTAGTCTATCTGCATATTGTTCATCACTGCAAACAAGACGCCGAATCCACCATCGCGGGGACATCTCCGGATGCACGCTCGGCGGAGACGGTCTCGCGCGTCTATGGCCACAGTCTCCGGCGTTGGTCTCCGTCGGGACGACGACGTTCTGCACTGCGGGCGATTATGGCATGCTGCTATGGTCCAGAGCGCCTTCTCTCTTCTCTATCTTCTGCAGTCTTCTGCGCGGACCGATCAAGCACGCAGTGATCACTTTCTATACGACTAAGAAGGTTCGTCTATGAAGCTAGAAGCACGATGCTCTTATCACGGGCGTCAGGATGCATGAGGAGGGTGAGGAGAGGGTTGCATGCGGTTGCATCGTATCCGCACTACTTTACGCGGGCTTGGAGATGTGGGCGCAGTTATATCATCTCCAGGTCGAGCGCGGACCGCTGCGCCGGGGGACCTGCCTTTCTCGGACCTGTACTCAAAAGGAGCACAGCTCGAAGCGATCTTCGTCCTTCCTTTGAGGTTGTAGGTTCAATTCAATTCAGTCGCATTTCATATAGTTTAAGCTGTGCGTACACGATCTAGTTTGCAGTCTACGACTTCTAAATCTGATCGTGAGGGCGGTCAAGTCGAGGCCGCAGACCAACTCAGCTCTAGTGTACCGGCTCTGCGTAATCGCCTGCGCCCAGCTGCATGACCTCAGTACAACCGCCAGTTGAAATACCACCTCAGCCACAAACAGAAACATCGAACATTCGCATAAAATTTGCTTCCGAGTGGCACTTCCCCTGCAGAAGTGCATCCGTCCTCCGCGACCTCTCCGAGCTTACCCGCACGCTCTGACGCTGAGACCGCGGCCGCATGCGCGCTTCGAACAAGACCTGGCGTCGATCGTGTTCTGTTCTGCGGCGGATGCGCGCAACTGAGACCCATACGTACGCGCACTGGTCACGCTGGCCCTTAACGCCGTACTCCGCCTGATGCGACTCAGATGAAGCGCGAAAAGTTTTATATCGCGCGCATGGCGCTGGCTCATCGTTGGCCGCAGACGTGCGGGTCGGGAGGTCGGGCGTTCAGCGCGGGTCCTAGACAATCCTAGATATATGAAAGTGAGCGCATTCCGCGTTCGGAGTCGGTGTGTACAGCGCGATCGAGAGCTTGGACGGTCTTATGAGAGGTTATCGCGCTCGGCATGAAAGGGACCCGCGGCAGAATGCAGGAGACGAGGAGCCAATGGGATAGATCGACCTTGGCTGAGCGCAAATACGCACTCATGTCCGCATTCATGAAGGGGCGACTCATCTTGCGTAGATATCGATACCCCTCGCAGTCTCTAACGCCACCAGCATTGAAGAAGCCGCATATAGCTAGCCCGGCACGCGTCGACTGCGTTCTTCGTCCTGGCCGTCGAAGGCGTAATAAAGAAGAGGTCGCTTCGAGAAGTCGAGTACGCCCAGCACCAGCAGGCCAGAGTACAGCGTCACCAATGACTCAGACCCCAGCCTCGAGTAGTTCACGCCCTGAATCCCGCCCCAGAGCGGATCGGGCCACACGAGCGGCACAGGCCCGCCGAAGCCAACCGCGGAGTTATACTCGACTTTGCGATCACGATCGTCCGTGGTGTTTTGTGCAGCCTGTCTCGGAGCGTTTTGCGCGTAGCTTTGATCGCTGACGCGCGGCAGCGGAAGCAGCGCGGGCCGCTATCTGGGACCTTGACAGGCCGGATCTGAGCTGCGGCCCATGACGATCGTGCGCTGGGCGGAGGCAACAGCGCGTTTGCCGGTGTCGTGTTGAACAGCGGCTGACGACGAGGCCGAGACCGATCTGGCGATCGCGCGAGACATGCGCGTGTTGTTGTGCCGGCAACGTCGAGAGCAAGAGCGACAGGCGCGCTAGCGGCATACAGGATATATGTTCTTGCTCTCGGCATGGCGATACTCGAGTGGTGTATTAGGTTCCATACAAGCACGCGTGAAAGGCATATAGCGGGAGAGAGCACGGAGTCGAATCGGCGTCGTGTACGAGAAGCTCATCGAATGTGAGGTTGGTTGTAGAGAGCCTCGATACCGGTGCGTAAACCGGACTATGGGCTTGACTGCGGCTTTCGTAGTAGAAACAGTAAGTACCCTCAATACGAGAGCCAGCATCGATGTGAAATAAGCAAATGGTCAAGAAGAGAGCGTATTTCAAACCCAAGTGCCCGCGTGAAGAAGCCGTAGCGGGTGGCGTCGCAAGATAGTTTATGGTCGCATAGAGCCGATCGTCGTCACTCCGGCAAGTACGGAATAGCACTCTGAGACAAAACGTGTGCAGATATTACGGCGGCCGCCAGTATGGCTGTGTGCGTAGCAACGCGAAGGCGAGAGCCAGGGAGCAACTCGGCGAAGTCCGAGCAGCGTGAGAGGACTGAGGGCCATGCACGTGTGTTCGGTTTTGGACGATATTCCATGAGGTCGAGTACAGATGCCTTACAGCGTGCTGTCAGCATGTGAGGAAGACGGCCGCCGTATGGCATGAGTGGGCGCATGAGTGGCGAAGGCAAGTTGTCAGTATGAATCGCACTGCGGGCGGCGTCCGTGACGCCTGTGGTGGTACACGCTACGTCACAAGCTTACGCCGCGACTTGCAAGTGTATGCTTTCCTCCTGCCGCCACCATGAACCGTATCCTTCGCATATTCACGGTTGAATAACGACTAGAACGCTGGACTGCGTCAGCTAAAACCTAGCTTGTGGAAGATATCTTACGCACTGCAGCGTCCGTTACAAGCTAAGCTATTCCGCTCGTTGATTGATGTCGACCATGAGTATCGGAGGTCGCGGAGAGAGAGCCTGGCTTGAGTCCAACTTGAGTCTCGCAGAACCTGTGCGTACCTTGCCCGCTTTCTCGACCTACTCTGGTTGTGCTTATGAGCTGTGCAGCATAGGCGAGAACTTCTGCTCGCGATAGCGCTTGCTACGGATATTTGTGCTGCAGCGCTGGTGGACGGGGGATCAGCCGTATTATGTCATCCCGAAGCTCGGCCCGGCAAGCTCCGGTCAAACGGTGCCTGGACGGATTTCGACAGCGGGAAACCTAGCCAAGCTAGGTAATTCCCCATGATCCGAACGCAGACGTACGAACTTCGACCTAACCCTCAAAGTCACCCCTCAAGCTGGGCGCACTCGGAGCTACACTATCGTTTTGCCGCTTGCAGGCTATTCTCCTTGCCCACCTCCTACGCGATGCGGGGTCTCCAGTCTCGTATCCTGGAGAGCGAGCAGCAGACCTTGACAATTATAGGGCCGGTCGATCTCTTCGCGTCTAGCTACCGATTGCCGGTTACCAGTGCCTCATATTCATTCAAGTACTCTCTACTTGCCCTCTTCTGTGTGTTCCGATGCGGCACCTACGGCGAGCGATGCAGATCGAAGCTGTCTTCCTCGACCCTCAGTCGTGACAAGGTGACGATAAGCTGTACATCGTATCGCAACTGGACTAGGCTGCGACGCAAACATACGCGCGTCATGGCGCGATTGTACCATCGTCTCGCACGTAGGAGACTGGTACTGTAAGTTGACGTGGACTTCATGATCGAACCATCCTAATACCCCGCGAACTTGTATCCTTCCCTATAAATTATACGCTTGATGCAACGCCCATGCCCTCGAACCGCTCTCCAAATGTCGATTCAAACGAGCTGCGAAGAGACGATCTGACTTGAAGATGCTCCGCGAGACATGTAGTAACTATACACAAAACACAGTAGCTTCCTTGGCTCAGTTGGCTAGAGCGCAGGTCTCATACTTCCAGTATGAGCGGTCACTTGACCGTGTAATCCTGAGGTCGCAAGTTCGAGCCTTGCAGGGAGCATTCTAAGAGTAGTGGGTTTTTTCCTCAAAAGAACCAAGAATCGATTGTCCCTCCCATCATCCTTGCCGTATGATACAGGAAATGAGATAGCAAAATCGTGCTGTGCTTCTGCAGCGGGCTACGTTGTATTGGGGCGTGCTTTTCCTGGGTTTCGAGTTTGATCATCTTCACACGGATTTGGCAACGAGGATATATGGATAGCAGTACAGATACGACATGTCAGTACAGAAAAGAACCACGACATACGCTATGTTCTTCGCCTGAGACTATGGCATCCACAACAACAACGAACCCAGCTCCAGCTCGACAACAAGGCCATCATGCACGCGTAGCAAGAGAAGCACAGACAACCCGGCTATGCACAGAAATGTACAACTGCTTGTAAGGGCATGCAGCGAAGATCCACCCACACACCGTATACGAGCAGACGATCCCTGGTACAGCCGGGTCGCGAGAGCATTCTGTACACGCGTAGACTCTAGGGCGATGCATCCAAAGTACGCCTCGATCAAGGCAAAGTGCTCGATACAGGTGCCCATCGAGCCGGACCGCGACGGAGAAAAGTATTGCAAAACAACACGGCAATCGTGCGTGAGCGCACCCCTCACCAGCCCCGAGCGAGCGCCGAGCGGCCTAAGCGCACTACGCATCCCGTTTTCCAACCATATGACGATGCAAGGACCGAACGCATCACGAAGTAGATGTCCCAATCGCTCGGCTCTGTCAGATATCCCTCTCTACCCACAATTACTTTGCCATCCAGCATATCGAAGGAGGATATAAAGCTCATAGAGCCGATCCCGCGCGATGAGCAGGACGGCCACGACATCGCGGGTGGGTAAGAACGACCGCGCGCTACAACGGAGCGGCACTGCGAATAGAAATATACCGGCCACCCGCCTCCACCCCGCAGAACGAAAATCCGGCGACACCCACGGCTCTGTTACCGCACGTCTCTGCGGAAGCACGGCAAGCGAGTGCGGGGAGGCGCGCAGTTCGATGTGGGGGCGGAGAGGGTATTGCGTCGGGCGTGACGTCGGCTTCAAGCTGAGTATACGGAGCGATCGCGAAGATCGTGCGAGATGGGCGTGCGCTGTATCCATCTAGTCCATCCAGTCCATCCGTCGCCCACATATTACGTCCCCGCATACATTATCCAAATGAACACACACACAGCCAATCGCCTGCCAGGGATACCCACCGCCCCGCCGCGGCGCGTACTCAGCAACATAAGATAGGCAGCTCACGCACGCACGACCCCGGGCCGTCCGCCTCTACCCCCAGAACACGAATGTGGCGACACGCGCGGTTCTATCGCCGCGCGTCTCTGCACGGGCGCGGCACAGAATTTGCGGGGAGGCTCCGAGTCGCATTTCGATTTGGGGGGAGAGGGCAAGAGAGGGTGGGGTGTTGGGTTGTTGGGGCACGCGGAGAGCTCGGGTCGGGGTGCGGACCGTCCGTCCATCCGTCCAGTCCATCCAGCGCAATCGCACGCACCCTCTTACCCATGAATGAATGAATGAATGGACAGAATTAGTCGCCCCGGGTGGCGTGAACCAGCTGCATCGGATACTCAGCAACCTAGGCAGCTCACGCACGCGCGCGCCGAGTATCCTTCAGGTAAACTCGTTGCGTCCTGATGCGAGCGAGCGCGGTTGTATGCTGGGTATGAGAAGCAGAGGGCTTTAAGAGTATGCGGGTGGGTAGAGAGTTGGGAGTCTATGTCCATCGAACGCCACCGCCCGTCTATCTAGCACTAGTCCATCTCGATTACGCGACGCGCACGCACAGTACACGGAGTGTGCACCGACGTATCGCACAGTCCCGCTCGCGAGCCTTTAGACAGGCGCGCGGGGAAAGATTGATGGCGGATAGGGCTACGCTCCGTGCGAGGTGCGATGAGCGCAGATGAGCGTGGATGAGCGCGTCCGATCTTTTCAAGTAGAGATGGCACGATAGAGCTAAGAGATTCAGATCTTGAGCGAATCGGAGTGGCAGATATATGCGAGAAGAGAGGGACATGGCAGTCGAAAGAGACGAAAGCCTGAGACAGAAACAAAACGTGCCGTGATGCACAGCTGATGATGATGCCGGGCGGCACGTTCGCCACAGCGCCACATCTTTACAGTACCGCAACGCGGTCACACGACATTCCCTCCGTCCACCCTCACCACCCTCTCTCCCTCACAGACCCTTCATCGCGGCAGATATAATCGCAGGATCGAGGGCAGTCGCGAGCTATATGCACCGATAACGCCATAGAGCGCGCGGCCAGCGCGTGGGAATTCACGTGCGAGGGCGGCGGCTCCGTTACGTGTCGGACGGCGGGGGCGTGGCGGCCTACTACTTGAGCTCACCGACACATCGACCGAGCACGTCTACCCCACCCTCGATGGCAGAGGCCGACAGCGAGCTGCGCCAGCGCGCTCCACCGCGCGATCCCGATCCTACCACCAACGATGCCAACGACGGCAACGACGACGGGAAGAGCAAAGACGGGGACGGCGCCGTCGTCTGGGGCCGCACGCCCTCGGGCACCGTATTCCGCGTGCCGACCACACACGACGTCGTGCGCGCGCTCCTACACCCCGCGCACCCGAAATCGCACCTGGACATGCTGAACATCACCTCGCTCGCCCTCCAGCTCGCCCTCTTCCTCTTCCTCCCCCCACACGCGCGCAAAATCTTCTTCTTCCTCTACTTCGCCTTCTGGCGCGCGGCGTACGACGGCGGCCTGGGCGTCGTGCTCACCTGGCAATCCAAGCGGCGCTGGATCGTGCGCGAGATCGGCCGGCGCGGGTGGCTCGACCCCGCCCGGCGCCCGGGCACGCGCGACTGGATCCGTCGACAACTAGTGCACAAAATGGGCGCGGACTACTCGTTCGACGCGCTGCCGGTCGAGTACAACGCCTGGCTGCTCTTCCGGCAGGCCGTCGACATCATCCTCATCAACGACTTCCTCTCTTACGTCCTCTTCGCGCTCTCCTGCGTCCGCGTGCCCACGGCCCTCCCGCTCCCCGCGCACGTCGCGCGCCTGACGCTCGGCGGCGTGCTCGTCGCGTTCAACGTCTGGGTCAAGAGCGAGGCGCACGCGGTCGTCACGGACTACGGGTGGTACTGGGGCGACTGCTTCTTCGCGCGCGGCGCGCTCGTGTTCGACGGCGTGTTCGAGCTCGCGCCGCACCCCATGTACACCGTCGGATACGCGTGGCTCTACGGGCTTGCGCTGCTCGCGGGCTCGTACCCCGTGCTCCTCACGGCGCTCGCGGCGCACGCGGCGCAGTTCGCGTTCCTCGCGCTGTTCGAGAATCCGCATATCGAGCGCTTTTATGGGCAGCGGCGGCCGCTGGCTGAGCGCGTTCCTATTAAGAGGTCCACGAGGAGCAGCCAGGTGCATACGCGGACGAATAGTACGAGCGAGCTGGCGTTTGAGAAGCCGATGGTCGTTGAGGATGGGGAGGGGGTTGGGAGGGCGAGGGCGTTTAGCGCCGAGAGCGATCGGGATGGGATCGCGGGGACGCCGAGTGTTACGGAGGGCGAGAGCGCGACGGAGACCGAGTTGGAGACTGAGACGGAGGAGCAGGACGTTCAGGTGAGCTGTTCACCGTCTATCCCCAGTCGAATTCTGTGATGCCTCAACGTCTGTTTCTATGCGAATCCATTCATGTGCGCATATAATTACTTTCTGCTCAATCTGAGATCGTCTTCCTCGTTTCCCATATCTTTCCACATCATGCTAATCAACCCCTACTTCACAGACCACACCCC